AGCACCTTGGTTCACCGAGGAGCTGGCAGTGATGAAGCGAAGGAAGAGGGAACTAGAGAGTGTGTGGCGCTCAGACCCGAGTGAGCCAAATTGAACACGGTTTGTGTCCTTTCTGAGGGCATATGCCGCGGCAATAAAAGCCGCAAAGAAGGCTTTCTTTGCGGCCACTATTGCGTCTGCAAAGAACCGTCCGGCTGAGTTGTTTCGAATTGTCAGAGGTCTTTTGAATCCCACCACCCAAGGTGGGATCCCTGACAATTCGACCTCTCGCTGTGAAGCTTTTGCTCGGTTCTTTGCAGACAAAGTCGCTTTGATCCGTTCTGGTCTGGACACCATGTTAAATGCAGTCTCTGTGGATGTAACAAGAGCACCTGCTTGTCCTATTTTGATGAATTCATTCCAATTGGTGAAGCCCGAGGATGTGGACAAGATACTTGGAGGAATGAGGCCGACCACGTCCATCCTAGACCCCTACCCATCCTGGCTTCTAAAAGAGGCCAGAGGGGGATTGGCTGAGTGGGTGGAGGTGGTGGTTAACACCTCCCTTCGGGAAGGCAGAATTCCAGCGAGCTTAAAACAAGCTATAATAAAACCACTGTTGAAGAAACCATCACTAGATCCCACTAAATTTGACAACTTTCGGCCTGTTTCCAATCTTCCCTTTTTGGGCAAAGTTGTGGAAAGCGTGGTGGCCTCACAACTCCAGGTATTCTTGAGAGACACGGATTATCTGGACCCGGCACAGTCTGGTTTCAGACCGGGGCATGGAACTGAGACAGCCTTGGTCGCCTTAGTGGATGATCTGCGCCGGGAGCTCGACAGGGGGAGTGTGTCCCTGTTGGTGCTTCTGGACCTCTCAGCGGCCTTTGATACCGTCGACCACGGTATCCTTCTGGGGCGCCTTGCGGAAATGGGTCTCGGAGGCACTGTTTTACAGTGGCTCCGGTCATTTCTGGAGGGTCGTTCCCAGAAGGTGTTATTGGGGGACACCTGTTCAACCCCACAACCTTTGTCTTGTGGGGTTCCACAGGGTTCAATACTGTCCCCCATGTTGTTTAATATCTACATGAAGCCGCTGGGAGAGATCATCCGGAATTTCGGGGTACGGTGTCATCTGTACGCAGATGATGTCCAACTCTGTCACTCCTTTCCACCTGCTACTAAGGAGGCTGTCCAGGTCCTGAACCGGTGCCTGGCCGCTGTGACGGTCTGGATGAGGGCGAACAAATTGAAATTGAATCCAGACAAGACAGAGGTACTCCTGGTCAGTCGCAAGGCCGAACAGGCATAGGGTTACAGCCTGTGTTGGATGGGGTCGCACTCCCCCTGAAGACACAGGTTCGCAGCTTGGGTGTGACCCTGGATTCGTCGCTGAGCCTGGAGCCCCAAGTCTCGGCGGTGACCAGGGGAGCATTTGCACAGCTCAGGCTCGTGCGCCAGCTGCGCCCGTATCTTGGGAAGTCTGACTTGGCCACGGTGGTACACGCTCTTGTCACATCCCGCCTAGACTACTGCAACGCTCTCTACGTGGGGCTGCCCCTGAAGACGGCCTGGAAGCTGCAACTAGTCCAACGCGCGGCAGCCATGATTCTAACAGGAGCGGAGCGCAGGGAGCACACAACCCCCCTGTTGCACCAGCTCCACTGGCTGCCGATTTGCTACCGGGCCCAATTCAAGGTGTTGGTACTGGCCTATAAAGCCCTAAACGGTTCCGGCCCAAGATACCTAGCTGACCGCATCTCGGCCTATGAACCCACCCGGACTTTGAGATCTTCCGGGGAGGCCCTGCTCTCGATCCCGCCAGCCTCTCAAGCACGGTTGGCGGGGACGAGAGATAGGGCCTTCTCGGTGGTGGCTCCTCGGCTGTGGAACGCCCTTCCTGTAGATGTTAGGCTGGCACCATCTCTCATGACATTCCGTAGAAAGTTGAAGACCTGGATGTTTGTGCAGGCATTTGAGTAATTCAGTGCAATCTCTGGTAAATTGAACATAGGAACGGAACAATGGACGACGAATTTGGATCACGTTTGGATGATGAGGCGGTCCGGGGTGGGTTTTTTGTGATAACTGTGTATTGATGTTTGTTTATTGCTAGAAATGGAATTGTGTAGTTTAATTGTTATGATATATTGATTACTGCTGTTTTTACTGTCTTTGTTGTTTGTGAAAACCGCTGTGAGTCGCCCTTGGGCTTGAGATACAGCGGTATACAAGAATAGTAAATAAATAAATAAATAATAAAAATTACAAAACAATAACGAAACAATAACGAATCGATTCGTTAATGGCGGCCGCAATCGCGCAATACGCTAAAAAAACTTCTGAAGCTTCCCTCTCCCTCTGTTGTTGACTGTTGGTGTGATATTATAATTTTTTTTCACTAATTAAACAAAAAACCACTATAAATCTTGCCCCAGACATGCGGAAATAATAACGAAACGACCTCAAACCAATAACGAAACGAATACATAACGAAATACGAAGCATTTACGAAACGAATTGAAAAATTCGTTTCGTTTTTAAGTTGCTCCAGAATGGTTCGTTATCGCTTCGTTAACAAAAAAATAACGAATTTTTAACGAATTACGAATTAACGAAATGAAACCGCCCAGCCCTATTAAATATGGTGTTCTGTGGGGAAGCAGATGGTGACTACTGGATGACATATGTTCTGTATCAGAAACTAGAGCTGATGTGGTCTATCCAATGCAATTTTCTGAATCATCCCAAATAACCAAACTGAATCTAAAGCTGACCAAAAACGGATTCATAACTCTTTTAGTATTAATGTTGGAGAATGGTCCCTAGTCAAAAAAAGGTTAGGAACCACTGTCTTAAATAAACATGTGAGGGTGACTTAAAGGTTGCCATAAGTCAAAGTCAGCCTGTTTACAAAAGCAAAATGGGCATGGGTTTATTAATATTCCCATTTCTAAGCATTCTCAGAGCTACAGTGTACATTTATATTTGTTCCTGTGGAACTGTTTGGAAAGCTAACTGGTACCAATTACAGAAAGTATACAACTAACACCTTTGTTGAAACAATTCAAATGGCTGTATGAAACCTCAGAGATAAGCCTTTTCTCAGTCCCACCGCTATCAGAGCCCCATCCCATGAATAGCTGGTCATTCCTTCAACCCACTCACTTTGTGCATACACCTCCCTAGAACATAATGTTTGGCTTTGCACATCTGGGAGGGACACACACAACACAACTGAAATTCATACCAGTGTATGAAATGCCTCAAAGCAGGTACCTACTTACTTGTCACTCAGCCAAAGCAGAAAACAGCAGATACGATTTTCAAAGGACTTCTACACTAACTCCAACCTCAACACCAGAAACACATGTGATGCAGGAAGAGAAATGGTCTGGAAGAATACTTTGTGTTTTGCATGCTATATATACATGCTATAGGCTTTTTTCAGTGGCTGCCTTCAGGCTGTTGAACTTTGGAAGGGAAGGTCTTTCCACTATTAGGTAAACAAACTATCTTTATAAACAGGTGTTTTTGTAATTAATC